CCTGCGAAAAAGCAAATGGGCTAATGCAAACATTCACCATCTAAGAGGGACGACAAGCTTGAAATGGCTACGTCATCGAATGAGCAGGAAAGACTTAGATCTTCGATAGCACAACACCTGTTCAAACAAAGACAGTCTGTCAATCCAACCGACACACTTCAAATCATCTACCACAGAAGCAACATAAAGTTACTGGAATTTGCCGAGGCTATAGCCATCGAAACTTTGAACCCCGATCTATGCAATCAACGTGAATGCTTTGCCTTGGTGTTTAACCCCTACGGTCTCCCTTTCTTTTTGTTGAGTGTCGTATTGTCTGTTTTGATTATCGATCTTTATCTCACTGACCTAGAAATCACTTTCACTGCAGTATGCACGTGTACAGATGCAGCGAAATGACTATGGATACATTATTCAAACCGCGTTTGTGACTGTTCTATTCAAATATGTGACGGGAAAACAATGTTTTCAATAGTCATTATAAAAGAGAAATAGGTATATTATCTGCTAGTTTGAGTGACATTGCTAGGCTACGCAGACTAAAGTAAGTGACATTTCTAGTGGAGATATACAACCGGAGCATTTGGATACCTGAAGCCTGACACACAAGGTAGCTGAGTGGTGTGTAAAACCAGGATTCGTTGAGAATCGATGTCAAGCTGAACAGATCATATGACCTTTGGTTGTGATTAAGTCTTCAATATGGTCAATGCATATCACCAATACGATTTGTGGACAACATTCGTTGATATCATTCAGTTGAGGAATCGGTCTGAGTGAATCTTGTCCCTTGCAACGATGACACAACTGACGACATAGACTGACTAAAGCTATTGAAATTCACTCGCAGCCAAGCTTCGAATGATGTGAATATCGAATTTAAAGCCTAAAGGTCTGTTTCTGTGAACTTATTTTCAGACTACGTTTAACTCATAGAAAACTAAGATACAAATTATGACCCAGTATCAGTTAGCTAGTAAAGCACTAAAAGTGAGCTTGTTCTATGCTGTCTGTTTGCATATGACACCAGTATTGTCGAGCTATCGAACGAAATGGTCTCCACGATTCATTACCACTATTTACGAACTGAACAGAAATATACTTTTCTTCCATGCTATAGTAGATAAAATATATACACATTTTTTGAATAAAATACTGAAAAGGTTGCCAGAGGTTCTGTCCCGATGTGCTTACTTTTCAGAAAAAGGGTAGTTGGATAAAACCATCACTCACTGATCAAATGTCTGATTGATTTAACTCCAGTGGAAACAGCCGAAAACATGAACCGCAATTAACGTGATCAATTGATTTTCCTATTACTGTTCAACTGTTGTGCAATATAAACGGCACAATCAGAGTTGCTACTATCATCACTTTTGTTCATATTCGTCTGCAATGAATTCATGTCCCGGTAAAAAACAATCTCAGAATGTATTTAGTCATTCTGTTGCCGTAATCCAATTTGTGGAAAGATATGATTGAATTACTTTTTCGATGTTTTATTTCGGCAGGTACACATCATACACACCATATCAGCCAGAGATATCTCAAGGTCGTTTGGAAGCTCTGCTCAATTTCCAAACTCTGGTCGCCGATCTGACTGGATTGAAACTGGCCAACGCATCCCTGTTGGATGAAGGAACCGCAGCAGCTGAAGCCTTGACCATGGCAAATCGGTAATTGAGCGGACACCTCATATGAATGGCTACTGACTGGGTGGGTGGGTGGCTGGGGTCCACGCCAACAAGCCTAGGAAAGTAAATCTGCAAATTCACCCGGAAAGAAGCACCCGAACTGAGCCCAATAGTAGGAAAAATTCCGGAGTTATCCTAAACAAACATTATTCAACTACTAGTATTATAACTCCACAAGACGATGTCGGGAAGAGTGGGCCTATTGATTTGATGGGCAGCGTCGGATAGGGTACTTAGGGTCACATAGAACGAAACTTCAGATTTTCAACAATTGGTTAGTATCTGTTAGTGTCTTCTAGTGTTTCAAAGTATATCCTGTAACCCACTTGCGGATTCTGTGGGAATCCAAAAACCGCTTCTTGGTGCTTGCAATCTGCTCACAAATGTGAGTCGTAACTCACAATACTAGGTTTGGGAAATGAACTAATTCACAATGATGATGATATTTTAGTTTTTGAAGGCATATTTAATTTTGATCCAATAGTGCAACTATGTTAGATTAGTTAAACAGAGATTTCTATGAAACAATCTTGGACGGCACATCCGTGTTCGACAACTGCAATCGTGTTAACCGGAGATCACTTGTACCATCCATACTGTTATTCTTCACTAGTTTTAGGGATAAGGCAATTTTAACCTCCGACCCATTGATCATGTTTGCATCAAATGCAAAGTGCTTTTTGTACCAGTCACTTACTTCCCACTCTTCCATCAGGTTTCTCCAAATATTGCAATATAGCAACGTGTCTGTCTTCAATTCGATGGTATACAAAACAAAGGAACTGAAAATCTTTTGGATTTCATCAGCAGTGAAATCCGTCAGCCCATCTGCGGATCGAACCTGTGCCATTCAGATAAAACGCTTCACTACATGACAGTTTGATCGGACCGTCTCTACAAAATAGTGTGTAACCCAACATCGGAAGCTTGTAGCGGGCGCTTCACTTTGGTACCATTAGGTTACCAACTTCTGGGGTTGGAGTTATCCTAACTTAATTGTTCAGTTGCTGCCAACAAGATTGATTGTGTGAATTAACTTTAATACAAATAAATCAAAAATGCGCACCGCGTACCTCAGACTTTGAGTTATCCGACACAGAACGGGTATTTGATCGGTCAAAAGATAATGTCTAACCAAGGCACAATAGGCATTAAATGAATTGAAAAACGAAAAGTGGGTAGATCACAGTTATTCAGGCAAGAAGATTCTCTTGAGTGCCTTACGGAAAAAAACCGAAACCAACGGATTCCTCCCGTCCAACTAATTGCGCATGAACTGTGATGCGGATGGATTAAAACGTCACTCACATCTGGTTAACACCGAGACAAGAAACCCAGACAAGGTTCACGCGGTTTCGAATACTGTAGCCAAAATAAGTCAGTCGATTTTGGTCAGGAATAGAAATGAGTCATGAAAGGGACATGGAGTTTGGTTGCAATGCGGCACACCGGATGACCTGTTGCGACAGACTAAGTTGAGGGCGGCCAATCCACCTAGTTGTAAGAGAACTTTCGGTTAAACTGAGATGAAAGATGCACGGATTGTTGTCACAAACAATGAGTTTCTTTATGCTTGCCATACAGTCTGAAAACTCTCCAGTCAGTTTCTAAATAGGAAGCGGAATCAGCAATACGAGAGCAAAATTATCTTCATATTTGGTCAATGATTGCATAACCCAAACTAGTTAGTTGATACCCCGTCGATTGAATTGTGAATAATTAGCAATACTAAGATACGCCTAGCCAACTCTTGTAGTGGAGCCTCTTTAGGGCTCCATCTATAAGGCTCCAATCTATGAACCGAAAACATCAACTACTCAGACAGCAGCTCCGCCATTACAGTAGAATTTCAATTCGAGTAACTGGTGCAACATTTTAAACTCGGCTCCAAGTTTTGTGTATAACATGCCACTATCAGGTTAACTAGCCAAATAAGCCCTTCAGTAAATATGAACAATGGCTCAAGCTGTCAGCCCGATGGTCAAGTTGTTCTGAGTTCGAATCCCGCTATGGTTGCCTAACTGCGTCATTAGTATCCCACAATGGTCCCCTGATTGATCATAATCAGTATTCGACTATTCCATAGAATTAAGTAAAAACATACAGAAATCGCTGAATTATAGGAAAGATATGTTGGCTGAATAAACCAATTTTATTTAAGCTAAAATATGTTTCTCCAAATCATGATTACAATTATGTTCTTTGTTTCATCGTTCTCTGTTCGTCAGACGCACTTCGAAAACCAAATTTCTCGTGGACTCTCGATGTCATCCACAGACTATTGCCGTTGTCCGATCAAGAGCGGAGTGAGTAATCTCTGCCGTTCATTTTTGTGTCTGCGTTATTTTGATCGGGTGAAACGGTTCGTATTTCTGCATATTGTTTGCTGTTTCTAACTAACTGATGTGATTGTTTGTTACAACCGGGTTCAGCCCTTTAAGGCGCTATCTGTCAAGTTCGTGTGGTGGAAAAAGGCACGTATGCACACACTGTTGACTATACAAAAAGGAATAAGGACCAGAAACAGCACGACCGACACACAAGCGACATGTGTTTGTGTTTCAGTATCGCACTGTATGAGTTCGCCTTATCCACTCACTAATCTCAGTAAAACACGTAGAAACACCTTTGTTTCAGGAAAATTGTAAAACAATTCCATTTTGGTGTACCGCTGTGTGTATGTCGGACCTAGAAGATCACAGACAATCCAGCTACTTACTGCGATGAATGCCGCTAGGTAGTGTTTCTTATCAACCAAAATACAACCATAACTTCATTGATACTGGTTCAAAACTGTGCAAAGGATAGAATGAACCTGAAACCACCATATTCCACGAAACTTTTGGGTTCAAACATGTTGGAACCATTTG